TTTTTTTTTTTTTTTTTTTTTTTTTTTTTTTTTTTTTTTTTTTTTTTTTTTTTTTTTTACTTAACAGTCCAACCGGGGGTAGATGTTTGTACAAATGTTGCTTTTTCACGTATGTGCACTTCTTGTATGTTGTATTTAAAAATCATGAAAAGAATTTTAATATTATTCCTAGTTTTGTTGCCAGGGGAACGAAATCAATACAATACAATAAAAGCAGAAATGCCCCAAAAATGTAACAGCAGATGACTCGACTTGTTTTTGCTCTAAAATTCCATTTCAAAAATTGGGAAAAATCCAGCAAACTTTACCACAGGTATTTATCTCATTTTGAGGCAGTTTCCGACAATACTGTAATATACCAAAGTACCCTGAATGCACTTTCCAATTGGTAATTTCCATCAATCTGTAAACATTAAGAAAGCAGAATAAAAAGTTATAGGCTGTATACTCCATGTATACTTCACTGTACCTATAAAAACGTTTTATTTTATAAACTTCACCAAACTATCATAAATAAACTGCAAGTTGCCGGAATAAAATTCTGGTTTACCCAAGATTTTAGTCTATCGGCCCGCAGCCTGTCCCTGCGCCTTGACGCAGGAAGGGGAGTGGAGGTGCAAGGCGAAAATTTTGGCCCAAACTTGGATAAAATTAAAACGGAATAAAATAATTTTATTGAAAAATAATGACCCCTCCGACGTCATTGCGGGGTCACCTGTTACCACATCAAACTACCGCTCTGAACTCTTTGGTGCGGAACACTGGGCAGTCATGTCCGTCCCCTACATTAACTAGTCCATTTGGAATAAATGAAATAAAAATAAATGAACCACAATAGGAAGAAAATGTTAGAACTGGTTAGTTGACACCTTCCCTCCTCTTTTACTGTACTTGGGCTTAATTAGAGCGAAGGCACACTTACATTTGGTGGAAGGAATCTTGTCAGGGTGCGAGCCTGGTTTGCACGCAGCCTGATCCAGACAAGATTGCAGTGTGTGGTGAAGTTTTTTTTTTTTTTTTTTTTTTTGCATCAGAAGGCAATATGAACTTTTTGTGAGCTCAATACGACCCATTAGATGTATGTGTGAACCAGGACGAGCCTGTTTGTCCATTGTTCCTATGTCTGCACACGCCTTATCCGGACCTACGCCAAACTGGACGAGAAAATCTCAATTTTCACAAGTGGTCTTCTCCCTTTCCTTCATTCAGCGTCTTTTGCCGTTGACCTTCACTTGTTAGTGGTTATGACTTTTTACCATCATAATAACTACTGGAGTTGATTTTAAACCGAAATTATACCCTGTAAAGTTTGTCAGGCTGTCTTAGAAAAGAACATGGGCGCTAGCCACGGGTAATGATTAACACGCAAAAGTGTTGTTAAAACAACACACAGTGGAGGTTTTAAAGGTTCCAAACATTGTCTCCATTCATGAATGTTATGAATTTTAATTAATCACGCTTCATTCTTAAAAGCATTATGTCCAATCCATAAAGGAGGAGTGGAGTGGGAGAGAGAGAGGGTATCAAAGGTCACGTGAGCACGGGAACTGTGGCAGATTAATATTTCATTGTTTTATGCTATGGACTGCTCCCACCTATCAAAACTGACTAAATTCACTGTCAATGATAAATGCTCCCGGAGCATCGCGTACAGACTTCAGTTTGGAAATAGAAAAACTGACACGTTTATTATCAGCGGTATTTACACTTTTAAATATGTTCCACGCTCTAAAAAAATCAAAATCAGTCTTTCAAAATTGGTTGAACTTATTGCAATGTAATTACCCCCGTTTTTAGACCACGTATTGTTATTTCATGTCACGTTTCTTCATCCTCCTCGTGAGCGCGTGACATTTTAAACAACGTCATTATTAAATACTTTGGTCAGAACAAGTTACATCTGAAATAACGGTAGGCCTAACTTACTACGACATCTCATTTTCTCAGGACATATTGCATTAAATTCAATTCGATACACATCTCTTTTTTTCCCCATAGAGCCCGTCATTTAATGCGACTTTCCATCTGTTTGGCCCTTTATTCGAGTCAGCTCACATATTTGTTGAAATTTATGGAACTTTGCTCTTTGACTCCCGCTTGTTCGCGATTGGGACTGGGTCGCCATAGAGAGAAAACAAAAACGCTGCTTTTAAATGGCGTTAACGTGCGACAAGAGCACGCGTCTTATTTTAATTCTGTCATGCCTTAATGTGGTGTATTTGATGACATTAAGCGGTCACGGTAAGTGGACTCATCATTAAGTGTCGATAGGGTGGGAATGCCGTTTTGGGGGATGGGGGGGGGGAGGAGAGAGAGAGAGAGAGAGAGAGAGAGAGAGAGATGCATAGTTAAAACTTTACGGAAAAGATGAAAATAACACTAAACGGACATACGTTTAAGGTCATGTCCGAAGGAATTTGCTCTCTCCCACACAGGTTCCTTTTCTCCAGTTAAATCAGTTGTGTGCGTCGTGTTGTAGATGACAATGAGGCTTCAAATTGGAAACAAGTGATATATTGAAAATAATTAAAAAATAGCCTAGCTTGGACTGCTCGGAAATATAACCTCCCTTAGAGGGTTTCAACGAAGGTCTGAGAGGTGACAGACATGGTTATTTCAAGTTCAACAGTTGTTCAACAGTTGTTCTGCTAGTGCCTATACTGCCTATGAGTATTTGCTGTGTTTATTTATTTATTTATTTATTTATTTATTTATTTATTTATTTATTTATTTGTATTGATTCACAGTGTGTTCGTGTGTGTGCGGGCGTGCACGTGTATTTGTGTGTCTGTTTGCATGAGGGAGACTAAGAAAATACACGTGTAACTGATGTAAGAGAGAGATTTTTTCTGTTCTATATAGTTTACGATTCACAGAATTGATGTGAAAATAATGAATTCTGGGTAATTACTTATATAATATTGGAGTGTCCCGAGTTAAGTTAAAGGGATAAAAACTCTTCATATGAGATCCAAATTTCCGCAATAATACATTGCAAACAACACACGGAAATATAATCAATTTCATTTTACGACGAAACGGCGGTTATATGAATTATTCTTGTCATCGGACCGCGTGGACTTCATAGCTGACTACCCTTGTAATAGTCTCTTAAGAGATTTTAACTAAAAAAACACATTAAAAAATCGACAAAACCTTGACTGTCGGAACGGATACATAAACCATTGATAAGCACGCATACGTCAACCCGTTTTTCTTTCTTTTCGCCAAAATTAGGGGCTATTATCCCTTTAGCCATTGCGATATGCAACCTAGACAGTGTTTGCAAGGTGGCAACAATACATACCGTGCCTTTGTTCTTCTGAATATCCAATTCTATATTAATTTAACAACAGATTAACACACATTTACACTATATAGCATAAATATTTTATATTTCGAGCAATTTTATCGGCGTAAATTATTATCAATATCAAATTATTATTAGTCAACAAGAAAAGAGATATTGCTAAATATTATCTAATAATCAACTTTCACTCTCTCTGTTTTTCCATCCGTTGTTTTTCCAAAAGAAATCAAGAGTCTCCGGCATCTCCATAGGCAACGCCTCCCAAATAATAAGAGAAACAAACCAAATATTGCAAAAATGAAATAAACATAAGGAGAATTTAAAAAGTCTAAAAATAAATCGGAAAAATCTGTGCTCTTTTCATCGCCAGTACATCGCGTCCTCCAAGGCTTGAAATTATGAATTTGTGACACTTCTGTTGGCTGTTTCATCCATTGGACAAGTTCCTGCACTGTGATGATGTAGACCTCCTTGTAAGATGCGACGTATTCTATGAATTGTTTGACGATGTCCACCCCCTCGGGGTGGCTTTTAAACCAGCTGGAGTGAAGAAGCAAACACAAGGGGGCGCGGTTGTTCTCATAGTGGAGATTAAAATTATGGACGTAGAATTCAAAGACGTCTTCATCCTCGGCAAAATCACACCCTAAAGCGTCGGCCCCGTTGCAGCTTTCTCCCGCCTCTTTCCTGAACGGGCGATTCACGGGCACTGCCCAAAACCCGGGGTAGGACCCCCTGGGACAGTTTAGGCTCCCCACGCGGCCGTTGTCACAAACCGTCCCAACTTGAGGCGGGAAATCCAGGGTGTACGGGAACAGTGGAAGGGATCGATCCTTAAAATGGAGCGAGCCTGTCAGCATTGATTTATCGTACACGAAATTATTATCGTACAGAGCTTTATACATGTTGTCCCCACCAATGCTCATGAACGGTACTCGTACACCAACTAAATCGCCTTCTGGTATTCCTGCCCTTTGGGAAATCTTCCGTCGTTGCCCTACCATCTCTTTTACGTAGTCTTTATATGTAGCGTTCCCACTCCACCATTGCTCAGGGTAGGTATGACTCAGGGAGTGCACCGCTATTTCAAGACCTCGACCATGGAGCTCTTTTGCCACTTCATACTGGGTCTCTAGACCAAATCCGTCGGCGGCGTCTGACACGAAGAACGTGCCCCCTATGGGGCATCCGTTGGGATTCTTGTACTTGGGATTGAAGATGGCCCGGAAGTAGTCGATGTTGACAGAGTGTACTGCGTCGTCAAAGGTGATTAAGATCACTTGAGGCGTCTTGGACGGTTCGATGTTCCCCGGGGGATTCGAGCTTGGGCAGTGACACTTGGGAATGTGACACTCGGACGGGGCACACGTCTCAGCGTCCGGTGCGCGTCCCAGTTCATCCGCGTTAACTGTCCCAGCTCCTTGAAGAAATAGACACAAGCTGACGTAGTGATAAACCCACAGTAGAAACGGCAGCGAAGAATATATAATCTTCATTCCGATCTCGTATCTCATAAAACGTGGGGCATAAAACCCTGAGAGAGAGAGACAGCGAGGCAAATACGTCGCGACAAGTGATAAAGCTCCCTTATGGTATTATAAAGTACTTGCCAGGTGAAGGCCAAACCATCAACAGGATATTAAAGCAGTCTCACTGTGTTAATACTATTTAGCATGGTACAGTATCAACATTATTCAGAAACGCGTGAGTAGGTCTTCCACAGATGTGTCATTTTGTCTGTTAAAGTTCATTTCTCTGTGACAAGCCTTTATTCAATCTCCCCGGCTGTAGAATATGGATAAGACTGAAGAGAAAGTGGCAGTACATGTTCAAGCGAGGTGTTTTCAAGAACTACATTTACTTTAAATCAAAGTTACATATAAATCAACAAGCACGCGAGTGTCCGCTCACACGTTAAATTGTCTCGAATAATAATAAGGATAGGTTATGTACTTTCAGCGTACTTTGTTCAGTCGACTCCAGTTCTCCCTAAATAAAGGAATTAGATAAGAATGATCTTATACCTTTATTGTCTCTTTCCAAATTTTATCAGGTTTGCGACCTTATTACCGAAATAAAAACGACTCGTGAACTTCAAATCCTACACAACAAATATTATTTCAATTTTCTTTCCGAGATGCACTGGACTTAGTAAAGTTGCGGTTCAAATCACTAGTACATCTCCATCAGGATTTTGGCTATTATTCAAAATCCACTTCACTCTTAGTCTAAATGGTTAAAAAATAGCTGCATTTCATGCATTAACTTCGATCTAATTTCACAGTAGACTCTCTACTATATGTAGGCCTACGTATGCCCCGTTAAATAAACTGACGCGATAGGCAGCGAATTCAGTTGAGTAAACTGTTAAATAACGTCACGAAATATAAACAAGGAAATTCAATGCACGTTGCGGCGCACCTGCACGTTTAGCTGACACATTGACCGGATGATAAATTTTTCAACCACATAAAACGACCCATTGAAAATTACCGAAAAAAAAATGAGAAAAAACACATAATTTGAAAAAGATTTCATGAAATTGTCATATATTGCCTCCGTTTTTCAATAAAATCTGACTTTAAATTAAATAAATAATTAATTAATTAATTTTTTTTTATTTATTTATTTACTTTTGCTGATATCACAAAGATTGGACTTCAGTGAACTCAGTAACTCAGCTTATTGGACTGTGAATCTTTTTATAAGCGGGATTCAAAGCTAGTTTTATCGAATAACAAAATGTATCTTCGTGCCTTGGGCGAGAAAAATATGATAAGGAAAGACATATAAATTTGATCCTCAAAGCAAGTGGAGTTAGATTCAGAATATTTAGAAAACAGTTTTCTAAATTAATTGGTAAATATTTTGTAGTGAGCCGTCGGTCCTACGGGTTCTAAAAACAGTATTACTTGATAACTTATCAGTGTCTTTTTTTTTATTCACCAGTTCAAGTAAGTAGGTAATCTTATCAACTTCCTAGATCAAATAAAATAAATATCACGTTCAATTTTCAGGATCATGTCTGGATGTTGGATGTCGCCACCAGGGGCGCTGTATCACACAAGACGCGAGCAATCAGAGTTGGTGTGAATGCGACAGAGGATACAGAGGAGAATATTGCGAGAAAGAAACGTACACGGGTATCATATTTCAAAATGTTTTTTCGTGACCATTTTTTGTCGAAATATTTTTTGTTTAAAAAATCAACCTGTTTGTATTTTATTTCGCACAGAGCCTATATATTTTTTTATTCTTCTTGTTTTCTTAACAGTAAAAAAACATTATCATGTAATCATGTCGTATTGCGACCCGTTATCCTATGAGTAGCCTTTTTTTCGGGGAGGGGGGGTGGGTCAGATCTTTTGAGAAAATCTCACATTATATGCCGTATATTTTGAGACCAAGACCCTGATCGTGCAGAAACCGTTTTCTCCTTATCCTGCTTCTGAAAACTCAAACGTCTTCAGTATAGTATTTGAAGACCAAAACTAGAAGCTAAATTCTAGTATTATAAAATAACTTGTTCATTTTCTCAGCAAAACCGCACAATTCATTTCGTAGGACACGTGAATGTATTTTAATTGCTCCCGTAACTAATGGCTCGAATTTCTAAAGATAAATTAACCTGCGGCTGAAACCAACATGGCAAATAAACTATTCAGTTACACTTCCTGACTAAGACATAACAAACAAACTCTTAATCTCTGCTGCGCAGAATACCACAGCTATGTGGAACGCAGGACGTCCTGCTGACAGACCTCATTAAACAAAACGCAGAAAAAAAATTTATGAAGAAATTTGTTACTCTCTTGCACAGCTCTCGAGTAGTGAGTAGTGTTGTCCGAGTTGGTGAACTTTTTTTTTTGCTTGACTTGGAACGAAAACTAGAAGAGGAGACGAAGAGGCGATTATTTGATTTTTTATACTATGTTTACCTAACAGTTTACCTCACCAGTTTAACTAATGCTACTCGCTTAATAAAAACCCTGCTGCTGTTTTGTTTTAGCCCTGATACGATTTTTAACCTTCGCTTCTGTAGTCTCGTAAAAATGCGTGGTGCATTAAAAAAATACGCTGAAAAGAGGCTACAGCTGTCACGAGTAGGAGCTGAATGCGTGGGACTAAGTCATGTAACAGCATCGTGAGATAAACAAAGTTTTTTCTCTTTTTGGTTTTGAAGAAAGAAAAACATACAATATAGAATTCCAAGTCATTGGGAAGATAAATGACTACAGGCGAAATCGGACATACTTCGAAGAGGAAATATCGACGCTGGTAAAATTTTATCTATTTGATTATCCATAAGATTCATCGGGGACTATTTTCGTAAGTTGCACCTAGAAGAATGGACCTCCGTATTTCTATTCAATTTCTTTAACCGGTTTTAGAAAATAATAGGGCAGTGGTTATCATTTTTAGGATGTACGTTTGTCAGTTCGGAAGGTAAGATATACAGAAGCATCTGTTTTAAAGAACATATTCAACTACATTGTGCGGGTTGAGTGTGCAATATTGGCATGTTATACGAAATCTTTTACTTTGAAGCAATTTTAAACGCCGAAAAAGTCATGCTAAAAGGAATTTTAATGGCGTTACATTTACTGTGTTTTCTGTTTCGTATTTTTAGCTCCTTCAAGTTTACCAAGGAGTTACCGGGAACGGCCTCGTCAACGTTGCCGTAAACAGCGTCAGAGAACGGTATGATTAGGTCTATGATGAATTTCTAGCATTATTGTCACATTTCTATTTAGGCAAGAATGATGTCTTGCTGTTTTCACATTTGATCATTTTCTGAAGTAAAAACAGCTGAGTTTCTCATGACTTCAATTTATTTTCTACCGCTCAGGATTTATAAGACGCAGTGTTTGAAGAACTCTGTACACAGTCATGCGCAAACAACAAATAAACTGAAAATTGAATACATTTAAATTTTGTTAATTCAAAAATACTAATAAATGAACAAATTAAAATATATAAATTAAAATAAATAAATAAATAAATAAATAAATAAAAGAAATTGATGGTGAAAAAACGCAGTCCGATCGAAACATACGATCTGTTTCAACAAGAACAAGAACCAAAAACCAAAGCCACAAAAACAACCATATAACGCACACAGGGGCGCGGGCTGACGTTAGCTGAGCATTGTTTTCCATTTAGGCAGACCACCGTCTCGGTGAAATCCACGCTGTCTTTCATCCTGTTCTTCGACCAGCCCTCGGACGCCAGAAGTTTAAATCTCCCCGGGGTATTACTACGGCAGCTGAAGATGGGGACACTAGGCCCGTATAACGTCACCACGCAGGCCTTTATCTACCAACAAGTTCAACCCAGCAAAGGTAAGAATTATTTATTTATTTATTTATTTATTTATTTATTTATTATTATTATTATTATTATTATTATTATTATTATTATTATTATTATATGTTTAAGACAAATGCCCGAGTAAACTCTCTTATTACTGTGAATCGCTTCAGAAATGACAGAGAGATGTTCACATCGCGTTCATTTACTACGGTGACACGAATTTCAACGGTATCGTTGTTTCGCGATAAGGGGCCTATCTGCATATCTGCATATACGTGAATGTATCTTCTGTTTAACCCTATTCGATAATTTTTTAGTAATCAATCACTGAATGTTGCCTTTGGTGAACGCCAAAATGTGTAATTGCAGGAACGCCATTTACCACGGATAATGGCATGCTTCAGTTTTATTCAGAATTGCAATATGTCTTCGTCTAGGTGGTTAGCTACTGAACAAATGTAGTCTAAGTTGCAAAGCTTGAAATCTGTGGCGACAATTAAATGTAACCTAATTGTCCGCACTTCACTGTGACCTTCCCCTAAAGTTTACAGGCCGTTGTTATATATATGGCAGAGGGAAACAGGAAAAGATCAACGGAACTAATAAATTTCCTCTGACACAGTTGGTACATTTGTCCCCGCCATCCTATAGATAATGGTTTTTCAATGTAAAAGACTACTAGTCGTATGGACACCTCGGCCTAATGCACTTGTTCAATGTGTGTCAACGCCCGCAGGGATGAGACGGTCATTAAGTGAAAAAGTCTAAAAAATATGGCGTGGGATCCAGGGGGCATCTGCTTCGATCTCAAAAATGATATTTTTGGCTCCCCAAAAAATCGGAGATCAGCCGATAGTCGCCAAAATCCCATTACTGCGCCTGGAGTGAAATGAAACGGGGTCATTTTGATGGTTCTCCGCCCCAACTGATACAGTTTTGCTGAACTCTACAATGTCAAAGTTCATCTATTTATTTATTTATTTATTTATTTATTTATGTAGACTAAATAATTTCATCTCGACGTCATGTGTTGATATCTGTCGGTGAATAGATCAACCATTATATAACGCACTAAGGGTTCCGTAAATCTTGCATGGACGCCAAGAAAAAAATCCCACGTAAAAATCTCTATGACATAACTCAACAAGGGCGTTAACACAGGAAATCACTGATGTTGCGCGTCGTCAACTGTCGTCTGCCACAACTGAGCCGCGCTTTGAAATGATCGCCTGCTAATGAGTCTCGCATCATAGTAGTCCGTCACGTCAAGGAAACGGAAACAATTTACAAACTCAACGCCTGACATTAAATCGTCCCCGTTCGGCTAAGCTATAGGGAAGAATAAAAGGAACTTATTTATGAACGCTGAATGTTTCCCCACTCCTTATTTCAGATGGTGGTTTCTTTGGATCCAAAGCCGTCATCCAGTACATGACCATCACGGCGGCCGCTCTGTTGTTATTGTTCAGTATGGTTTTCCTAGCGTGTGCCTGGCTAACCAAGAGAAGAAATCAAGCCGAGCAGGCAAAGTAAGTTCTATCTCCTGTTTAATTTTTTTATTAATACATCTACCTGTGCACGTGTAGGCCTATTATAAAACTCATGTGTTGCTAAATTAGTTAAATTCATCCAATCTTTCTTCATTTCCCATGCTTTTAGCTCTATTTATTATCATTTTACCATAAGACCATTCGTTTCTTCGAGGAATTAGAATCTCAATACAAAAAGCCCAAAAGGTTCTTTTTCTTACTCTGTCAACTAAATAAATATGGAACGCATGAAAGACCATTAGTCTTATTTCTGTAAATTTGATAGGATACTCTCAACGCCTCCGGTTTCTCTGTTTTTTTTTTTTTTTTTCTGAATCTACATAAAGACAAACACAAATCCAGTGTTCTTTGATTTAGCTATTTTCTGATATTTTTCGTTTTCAGGAAATCTCAGTCAGTTGAAATAGTTTCAGATCCGGTCGGTGAGGGTCACCAAGGTAAACACTTTATTCAAAGAATTTCCTTTTTCTTTTTTAAATTGTTGAAAGCGTGAAATAGCCATATGAGTCGAAACCCTGACTCATTCCCAGTTGGCAGTCGTAATATCATGTTAGAAAAATGTGTGCCCGACAGCAAATGCGCCAAACAGGGTCTATTTTTATTCCAAGATCGAAATATCAATTTGCTTTCAGCATTCTGTTCATTTTTTCACACTTAGCCGTGTAATGGTAATTGTTCCTGGTTTAGTGGGTGTATGTTTAATAAATCAACCGTTAAAAATACAAGAATATTTTAACTGAAAAGGGAATAGTGTATTTTTCCGAGGAGATTTGTTTATTACAATATTTTCAAACGGATATTTTCAAGACTAGCTATTTCTTTAACTCCTGTCTTTCATAAGTCCTTGATATATTTTAAATTTGGCTTATCGTGTTGCTACAGGCGGTCTCTATGAAGACTTACGGGAAGAGCCGGGCGCCGTAAGTGTCTCCGTCGCAGACCACCTTCCGACTCCACCACCGAGACCCAAATTGCAGCCTTCACCAAGGCCGCCTGCTAGAGAGGCTACTCTACCAATCCAACACGCAAGGCGGCTGTCTTACGAGCCTTTTACACGATACTCCATAGAGGAAACAGAATACATTAACTCTCCCCCTCCTGCTAAAATTAATTCGAGAGCCGAGAAGGGGTATGCTTTACGGGGTAAAGGGCAGAACTTCTACGAAGGAAGAATTGAGGAGCCTCTTAAACAGTGTTCTTGCGACGAAGCAGATAATAATCATTCTCTTCCCACCACAGAAAATGAATATGTTCCGATGACAGGGAGTATCAAAACTAAAAAAATAAACAAAAATGAGAAGGATCATGTTGAGTATATCATCATGAAAGACGACTGCGGCAAAATCGAAGCAAGCGATCGGGGGCCCAAGCTGAAGGCGAAACAAAACGACAGTAATGAAAATATATACATAAATAACAACCCTCCCCAGGAGAACGCGTACTTAGAATTAATCGAACAGGAATCTAATAATAATTTCTTCCAATTTCCAAGACCGGGAAGTCGTCTGCATGCTAGTATGGTGGAGTCATTCGAGAAAACCGCAATGATGAAAAGCCCAAGGTCAAGGTTACCCGCGAGCGCAAGGTCATCGTCAAAGTCACCACCCAGGTCAAGGTCATCAGTGATGTCATCAAATGGGGGTTATCACAAAGAGTTAATGTCAGAAGAGATTCCAGGCGTTGCAAATCTTTGCAAGGTTGACTATAACAGGGGGAATGGCACCCCTCATCCTAAACAAAACAACATCATTAAAGCCTGCACGCTACCAAGTAAGCTCATGAAAAAGGAAGTCCAAAACACACCCAACGCCAAATCTCAAAATATTAAACTGAAGTGTGCACAGCATTCTAAAGCTCCCTCTGATTCCAGTGTGGTTCACTTATGGCGAACTCCACGCAATGAAGTCATACAGACAACACCTTCAACAAAACGTTACTGCAGACAGAAGAAAACTGACTCTCTTTGTCCACCGCCTGATGACTATGGTCCGCCATTAGATAAGGATCTTGGCATTCACCTTACACCAAGGTCAAAACGCTACAATAAAAAGGCAACCACAACGTGTCCCGAGGAAGCGCCCTCTTTTGGTGGATTCAAAAAGAACACGAGTTGTTCTGATAAAGTCCTTTCATTTGGTAGACGTAGCAGCGGAGTGGTTAATATGGCATTTGCTGATGATCCCGTTGTGGATCTCAGCCCGCCCATCACAGTGGAGGAAAATGGTTATGATTTCGTGGAGGAGTACACAGAGATTGATGATGACGAATGCGATTCTCCAGAGGAGTACCAAGAAATTAATGATTTCGATGAAGACGAAGAAGATCCTAGAAAAGCTGTTCTTCTTCCAATACGGATTAAGAAGAAGAAAAGTCTCACTGATGAATTACCAGCCTACTTCGCCAAGATAAAGCCAAAGACAACTCCCAGTGGTGATATTAAAGCATGCTGTAAAAAGTTAACGACCAAGAGTCTCTCTGATGATTACGCTAACATAGAGAGAAGGAAGCTGCCACCAATACCATCAAATAATTTAAGGCATTCCATAGAAAAGTAAAAATTATGTTTCAGCCCTCTGAAAGATTGCTTTTTTCTTTTGTTTTTTGAAGCAGACTGCAACGAAACCATGAAGTTTATTCCATAAGCTGTGTGAATTTTGCTGGGCAATTCGGGAAAAAAAGCATTATTCTGTGGGTACAGATTTCTGAAAACTGACCCAAGCACTTAACCAAGCCTACCTATCAGCGCTGTAAAATTTTTTTTTTAAAGAGCAACAATCATGTACAGTAGACAATAATCATATAAAATGCTTTTTATTACAGACAGAAAAATATTCTTACAATATTTGTACAACCTCATTTATAATAAAAAAAGAGTTTAAATAAAATTAATAATTGACCGTATTGTTTTCACCTCTTTCCAAAAACAATGTCTTGTTTTTTTTTACATTCATGACGTTCTCAAGTGTATAAAAAAATCATGTGCACTGAAATAGCTGACAGTCCTGTATTCATAAATGTTTTAAAAAAATCTGAAGTTCAGCCCAGTTGCAGCAATTATTCAAGGATTCATTTTTGCCATGCCTGTTTTCCTCATTTTGATCAGGTACTGAAGCTCCAACAGTCAATAATTCAGTAAAATATTGTCTTAATAAATGCAACAAGTGAAATGAAATATTCAGTATAACTATTTCCCTTCAGTGTCACTCACAGATGGAGAATCATTTCCCGAAGGAGAATCACACACCCTCAAAGATGGGCCCTGGTCTAAAAATGCCTGTAATTCATTGTCCAAATCTGCAGGGGTGTCATCATGACTCAGATGAGACACAGCCTGTGATTGGGCATCTTCATTATCTCCTGCTCTATCTGATTGGTCCCCTGGATTTGGAATGGAGATCCCCATAGCAGACCTGACAGCATCAGTGGATACCACTTCTCCAGGAGTCACCTAAAAAAAAAATTAAGATAAAATTATTAAATTGAAAATATATGAAAATACCTATGGAATTCTGGTGGCATTTTAATGACCAAATTGTGAAAATGTTGGAAGACACCTTTTCAAATGATGCCCATTAGATATTTAGTTTCTAGTCACTTTCTTGTCTAAGCAAATGTTTGAAAATAAAAATCTTTAACTGGCCAATATTAAGTTAATACACACAAAAAAATCTCTTACAAGTTAATAAAATCACCATCACAATTCCCATCTTTACCTACCTGCTTGGTTAGTTTTGTTAACTGATCTGTCACTTGTCCAGCTAGAAAAAAGGTAGATGTATATATAAATAATATAATAATAATATGCACAAAAAAGTAATAAATATACATACATGTATATACAGAATATATGTAATCATCTCCAATATGTGTAACAGACTGTCATATAATAAGTACATAGTAAAAATCAGACATTCAAATTTTAAGTAAAAAAATTGCTGAAATGCACCTGTTGACCCCTAAATAACCAGAAAACAACAACCAACAAACCAAGCAACCAGCTTCCAACCAGCAAACAAAGAAACAACCAACCAAACCAACCAACCAAACCACCACCAATACACCTCCTGTTCTCTCCCTACCCAGTGTCATCTCCTTGGCCGAGGGGCCCTGAATGTGGGCTAGATGGGCGGGGGGTTTCTGCCGCAGCCTCTCCTCCTGACTGTCCCGTAGGTTCTTGATCAGATCTGCCGCTGTGTTCAGCTCCTTCTGGACCTGCTTCTCTTTGCTTTGTTTCTCTGTGGATAGAATGAGAGATGTGAAATTTTTTTTTTGCTTCTCTGTGAGGAGGGTGAAATAGGAGATAAAGAATTTTGGAATTGAAATCGACTGAGATTGGGTTTTTTGAAGCTGTGTCAGTTCATGTGAGCATTATCACTGAATTGGGTAAAAATAACACTTGATTGACTAGTTTGGTAAAATTACTTCTTTGTTTCCATTTGAAAGCTATGAACTGATATTCAAAATAGGCACTAAACATGTAATTTTTTTTTTTTTTGCTTCTCAAAAATTATACAAGAAATCCATTTCAAGAAACAAAAACTTACCAAAATTGTCTAAGAATGACATATCAATACCCAGTTCAGACTCCAGGGATTTCAGTTCTTTAAAATTGATTTCTGGATCTGATGACTTCTTCTCTTCACTATCAGTCTCCATTTTTTCTTCATTTGGTTTGTCTCCGTCTACTCCCTGTTTGAAACAAATGAAAAAATTCAAAATCTCTATTTTTTTTTTTTTTTACATTCACAGACAATTTATGTCAATTTCACTTTTCTCTTCTACTAAATTTGGATAAACCAATTAATTATGCCAATTAATCAGATCTGTTACAGTTAGTAACATTAGACCTGTAGGAAGCAAGGCATGGGAGGTCTGACAGAATTGCCTATTAAGATCAAAGTTTGAGTCAGATTCTATGGCATTTCAACAGCGGGGAGTCTCACTAGATTACTTTCAGATAATCCGACTTAAATGTCCGTCCCGCCTACTACAAGCTGTAAGGGGGTAATTAACTTTCGTGTCCGCCCGGCTGACAGCTATTTAGCGTGAACCCCCAGGGAGTTAAGTCGATCTAAAGTAGGTCGATCTAATCTATGGAAATGGGGTGCAACAGTCAACATTAAGGGTATAAAGGTCCACTATTTCAATACCTTGTCTGTAACTTTTTGACCTTCATCTTTGTTCAGTTTCTCTTCCTGTCGTTTCTTGTCTTCTTCTTCTTCTTTCTGGAATACAATAAAATATTCTTATATATAAGACTATGTACAAACTTAAAATACATTTAACAGACAGCTTTAATCCTTCCAGAATGTCTGGTTTTCTCAGACAAAATCCCATCATTTACTCATTTGTGGCCTATGTTTTAAAAATTGATTTCAAAAAAAGAAAAAGAATTTACTTTAAATGTACCTTTTTCAGCAGCATTTTCTGAGCCTTGGCGTGCTCTCCTCCAGTGAGATAATTTAACAAACTGTCCACCAGAGTGACCGTCTGGGTACCACAGTTTTCCACAAAATCCTTCAGGCTGGAATACAATAATACTTTCCGTAAAGCAATTCAGAAACTTGTCTACTATATCAGTTATTAAGTTTTATACCATACATACATAATTCATCAACCATGATAAACTATGCCATCTCTTTACAGACATTAAAAAACTTCTCTATTTTTTGTAATTGTTCAGAAGTAAATCATCAAACACAGAAACACTACACTTAATGTTCTGAACCATGATAATGATGGAATAGGTACTTTTATGATAATAAATGGCATGTAATAGAAAAGGAAATCAATTTTAATCAAATATGACCTACTGGTGTAAATTAAGATTTATTATTATTCATTTATTTATTAACGTGACATGTGAGCCTCACCCGGCCTCATGGGCCTACAAGTCACCGTACTTTATACATACTGCTGATTTATTAAACATGCATTATTCTAAAACTGTCTTTTTCATAAAATTACTTTCTCTTTGTCAACAAAGCTGAACTCTTAAGTAGATCAAATTAAAACAATTAACATTTCATAGTGCTGTGAGCAGTAATATAGAAATGACAACACTGTTCAAAAAGACACCTTCCATCATCAGCCCCGTACCTGTTGGCATATTGTACGCCAGTTTCACAGCCGTAGGTTGAGAGCAACAGGTCTGAGTCCTCCTTGGACAGGTTGGCAAACGAAGAGTCGTATGACGGGGCAAAGCTGCTGAATGGAGCATAACTGAGGTAGTTTACTGAAAGAGTGAAGAGGTGAAAATAGTGCATGGTTACCCCTCTTAGCTTTACAGTGCAAAAGTGACTCTCAAGTAACTGATATTATTCCCCTATATTTTAAGTTATAAATGTATATTGACATCAATATTCTAATAAATATATAATTATTTAAAAATTGTATATCTGTCCCATATAAACTCATCACTGTCACCACACACACACACACACACACACACACACACACACACACACACACACAGCCCAATACCTGGTTTGACCACGTTTCTCTTATCTTCCTTGAAGCCTGATATAGCCCCCGTGCCCTGGCTGAGTTTACCCACCAGACCTCCTATAGTGATCACTCTCTCTGTCTCACTCACTGGAATATAAATCATATCAATAACACTAGTCTATACATGTGATATAGCCCCCGTGCCCTGGCTCAGTTTACCCACCAGACCTCCTATAGTGATCACTCTCTCTGTCTCACTCACTGGAATATAAATCATATCAATAACACTAGTCTAAACATGTGATATAACCCCCGTGCCCTGGCTGAGTTTACCCACCAGACCTCCTATTGTGATCACTCTCTCTGTCTCACTCACTGGAATATAAATCATATCAATAACACCAGTATGATAAACCCTCTAAACATGTGTTTTATGATTAAAGTTGGCCATTATTTCTATACAAAACACTGTTTATTTTTAGTTTATTCACTGTTAATTATTCTAAATGATCTGAAGAGTTCAGCTCTACTGACAAAGAGAAAGTAATTAAACTAAAAAATTACTTTCATCTTAAATCTTAATTCAGTAGGTCATACTTCATTAAAAGTGAGTACTTTTTCTATAATGTCTTTTCCAATCATTTACATACCTATTCCATCATTATCAGGATTCAGAACATTCAAGGTTGTGGTGCCATCTTTCTGTCTTCGTAGGAATCCAATCTGAAGGAGTAAAACAGCAATATAGACCAAACACATCACCAAAATAATAACAATTTCAGCCAGGCAGTTTCTGCTAATATATCATAGGGTCAAGCAGATTTCAGGCAATGTCACAGCTATTTGTAAATGACATCTATTTCAAATACTAGTAGTGAGTATGAGTTCTGTAAATCGTAATATGTAATATGATAATCTCACACAAAGCTCACACTTAGCCAGAAAACTAGACCTCTCCAAATCTGAAAACAAACCAGGTTTGGAGAGAGGAAGGAGACTGAGGGGGGTGGGGGTCTTACCCCCATTACAATAAAGCACCATGATATCATGGTTGTTTTCCAGTCCAGAAAAGCCAATATTCCCTTCCCGGGAAAGGCCAATACAGAACACAAGATCACACTTACCTTGCTATCAGGTCTCCTTAGGGAGAGCTTATCCCCAGCATCCTTTGCAGCAGCCTGGGCCTGGGCCAAGATCTCCTTGGGGGTCAGGTTGTCTGGTGTGGCCTCATGGACTATGGCACTGGAGGAGAAGGAAAAGATGATCTAAAGATGTGTTTACAAGCAAAACAGGTCAACCCTACTCAGTTTGATGCCAGTCTATGGAGTGTCTGATTCAGTTAAGGATATGGAATTTCACTCTCTTTTCATGTCCAATGTCATATCCACTGCAAAGCAAGCTACAAGTTCAGAACCTAGTTGATATCTACTCTAACCTAAACTGCATTCAGAGCCAGATGATCCGCTGACTTACTAGTCCACAGAACAAATATCGTGTGCACTTGACAACGGATTCACGCCTTCCACACTCATCATCCCAGTAGGGGAAGAGCAATTTAATATTAGCACTCTTTCAAATGGGTTGCACCATATTTGTTCCCCAGAAAAGTTAATCCAAGGATCAACTGGCTGTGAATGCAGCCCTAATGGATTCTTTCCTAGTAAATTATCAGCCTACAGCACTTGTATCTATGTACCTTTTAAAAAAATGCATGTACTACAAAGCTGTTTATTCAGACCTGTAAATGTTTGCCAATCAGTTATGTTTCTCACCTAGACTTGACTTGGACTTTCTTTGGTTTCTTGGGCTCAGTGTCCGCGGGGTCATCCTCAATGCCCAGCTGCTCCAGTGTGATATTCTGCATAAAGGGTAGGGTGCGTTTCATATTCAGGAGACGCTCCTGAAAGAATGCCATGAAATCGTCATGAAACTGCCATGTTAACTTTATTTCAATTCTTTGAGTGGGTTTCACATTCAAATGGCATTCCTGAAAATTAGCTTGTTATTTTCGTGTAAAAAGGGATTTATATAACAAAAGCATAACTAGGTAAGTTTTCATGTTCAGAGGATATGTCTTATAATTGCCATGAAATGGTCAAGAATCTGCCAGGTGTACTTTGCATTCTCTTCTACTTAATTTGGACAAGCCAATTAATCAACTATGTTACAGTTAGTTACATCAGGCCTATAGACGGGTTTGTTTCATATCAGTGCTGTCTTACCCATCTTCTCATTTTCATCCTCATCCCTTGTTTTTCATGAAACTTGTGTATAGGTTACAAAGAGAGTGTTTCATGTTAGAGGGCTATGGCAATCATGTTGCCTTACCTTACTCATCATTTTCATCCCCATCCCTTGTAATTTCTTGGCTGCCTTGTAATAGATGGTGTCTGGTCTGTTGTAGGTCATGGCGTTGTCCAGCATCAACATGAAGTCTGCCTGAGATACAGAAGAGAGCAGGAATAAGGCGGCACTCACAACCAAAGTTGATCCATGGTTTAACTGATCCGTGGATCAAATATGGCTGATGCGCTCAAAAGTTACTGTGTAAACACCATGAGGAATCTATTCAGTGTCTATTGCAACAGGGTTTCAAGTGGGTCGGCCATATTTGATCTGCAGATCTGTTAGTCTGCGAATTAACTTTTGTGTCATAAGCACCAATGCTGTAAAAGACTATACCTACTACGTCCAATTAAGTCATATTAGTTTAGATGTCTGTGAAAAAAAAATTTACAAAAAAAAAAAAAAAAAAAAAAAAAGTTTTGTTCCGTGTTCAGTGCCCATTGTTACCTTATACTCTGCAGCAGTCTGGTATTCCTCTCTGTCTATCTTGGCCTGCATGGTACTGAGATCCATGGGGTGGGAGATTATACTGGAGTACCCTGGGGCTATGATATCATTGACAGGGAAGGCAAAGAATCCATTGACATCTTTCCTGAAGGAGAGAGATACAGCACATGAATTCTACAGTCTCATAGGGCGAAATCAGAACAACAGGACGTAATTAGAACTAACAGATACAATGATCAAATATTGACATCCTTTTTGAGAGCTTACTGCATAATCCTTGGATCTGTTAGTACATGGATTAACTTTGGCTGTGAATGTGGCCTAACATATCAAACTGGGAAGATTTCTTGACTGAATTCATGAGTTAACAGAAAGAATTCACTTCTTTTTTTAAATATAACTGCAATTTGGGATCAACTGAACATTTTACATGTAAACTATGTTCACAGAGGCTCACTGTCCTTAGTCTTTATCTTTATAAACAATTACTAAGAAAAATTGAACTTCACTCTAAACTGACCGTCAGTTGGCAAAATTTGCCTATATACTTACAATTAGTTATTTTTCTAAATTTGCACAACTCTTTCCACAGCAGTGTCAAAAACTATCCACTGGTTCATCTGTCAAATGACCTCATCATGCTACAATGCTACAAAATGTTTTTGAATGATCTTCAATTCATTCAGAGACTTTGAGAAATACAATCCATCAATGGTATTCAGAATCAACTAGATCACCCATTAAATTACCTCATCAAGAAGCGCTGTAAGTATTCCAGAAGTGGTTTCAGGGGATCTTCAGATTTATTCAGTGTGCACGACCTCGGCTCTCGTAGCTTCCTCTCGTACATTTCTGCCGCTTCACGAGATGCCTGGTCATGTGACTGCAACAGAGCTCGCTTTGCAGGGGGTTCGCCATCCTCGACGTCGATCTCACTCTCTGTGGTTTCTTTTGTTGATTCTTGGTACTGGGGAGGTAAACAACAAAAATATTCAGGTACAAAGTGTGACACATGCACTTGTACATAAAAAGGCTGATTCCATGATGAACACTTATCTGTGACATATAGAAATTAATTTTATGGCCAAATTTCATCATTTGGAAATCAACATTTTTCATATTTCTAAAAACACTTCTTGGGTAAAATGCTATATGCTTTAATCTCACAGAGTGCTGATATTATGAATGACTTAGTGGTGGATATTCCTACTGGATATTATATGTTCTTTAAACTTTGATGAAAGACAGATATAAATAAACCTTGGTAATCATTTTGTTTTAATTTGGGACCTTTCTGAATTCTAATTGACAAATATTCATTTTTGAGTCAAAGTGAGTCACTGTGGCAGAAAAAGACGGTCAAAGTTCATGACAGAGCTAAGGAACCCAATAGAGCTGTTTTGAAAGAAAGTTTTAGAAATTATTGTGAAAACCAATACTTTAGCTTCACTATGGCTCTCGTGGTGACGTTTATGTTCATGGTGGTGATGCTTGTGCCTCTCCTTATCTTTGTCCTTTTCCTTCTTCTTTTTCTTCTTCTTATGTTTGTGTTTTTTCTCCTCATGGGGTCTGTCTTCTGACACAGAGGTTTGTTCTGCAGTTTCTCCAGACCCTATCTTGATCACCATCTTTAGGGGTTTGTCTGGAGAGAGAAGATGCAGAATGGAACATTTACATTTGAGAATATTTTTATAATAATACATATAACAATGCTTCTATAAATAATAATTTCTTCAATGCACACCTTCAACCAATATAAATTGCAATAATTTGACACTGTTTTTGATAAATATATATATTTATATATAAAATTAATTTTCATTTTTCAAGCTGCTGCTGCAACTTTCATCATTCACTCGTCACTTCATGGACTATTTAATTACAAATAAATTTTGTTTGACACATATAACAAAAACAGAAATGGTTAGAAACTAGCTTAATTTGGATTTAATTTATTTACCATGTTTTTCAGACTGTTTTTCTTGGTAGTCTTCCTCTTCGTCCCTCTCTCTCTTTTCACTTTTGTGGTGTTTCTTGTGTTTCTTTCCCATTTTGGACTAATTCTTAAAGTATGAATTTTAAATTCATCGAGAAAGAAAAACGATAAAAGAATCAGAACAAAGAGGCAGGTGCTACACAACTAAACAAGCCATTCTTGCGGTGTGTTAAAAAAAACCCATAGATGGCGACTTTTCCAAGACAAGCTCAACTTAGCGCATGCGTATTTCGCAAGGTCACAAAGTACGTTTCCGGTCGGATGTTACAACGTGAAACACGTCGTCTGGTTTCATAATATATGAACGCTTCTGAAAAGGTAAGTCTTTGGTAAAATTGTGGTATTTTAAGATGAAAATTTTATTTAATATTAGAACAGATGACTGAGAGAATTTTCAGTGAATGACTTGGGTGTTCTCATTAGAATTTTTATGCAGAGATATTTTTGTGTAAGTGTCAAAGCCAGAGAAGCATTTGACAGAACAAGGAAGCGTGGCTGATGAAATTGACCGGTTAAATGTAAGAACAGTAGTTAACTTTCACTTTCCATATGGCGTTCTCAGAAGTCTTTGCTTTGTCAGACCCTTTTGTCAGGAGTCGACAATTGATCATTTATGGTACCTTGTGATAATTTATGAAACTGGAAACTTTGTAAAAATTTACTAAAATGTGCCATTTGAATAGATGGGGGTAGGGGTCTTGCATATGATTATGGCATGCCACGATGTGGCATATGATTGATTTTAATGACGTCTGGTCTGAATCAGATCAAACCCAGCAAAAATCGAATTTGTTTATGTTGTGTTGTGAAAGGTCAGAGAATGTAAATAGGAACAGCTCATGATTGTAGCTTAATGTCATAGGGGAGGGGAAAGGGAGGTACAGGTACTCTTGTAAAATTTTCCCATCACAAACAAAATTGATTTTCATTTAAGAGGGGTAAAAGAAGTAAGTGAACCCTAAACCCTATTTTTTATGTCACAGAATGAATGTTGTTACAGTAACAATTTAGATTCTCAGATGGGCTGAAAGAGATATATTTGATAGACTGCTTTGGGCCCAGTGTTAATTTCTGAATGTCAGGTGGTGAGGGAGTTGAGGTACAGTAATATTTGACCGCTTTATAACCCCAACACCTGACAGGTATGACAGAAATGATATCTGGAAATGAAAACCTCCTGTTAATGAAAAACTTCCAAATGCAGTTCATTTGTAAGAGAAGCCTAAAGCGTATTTGCATACATGGGTTGACATTTCTCTGTAGGCCACTTGATTAAGCTGAGATCATTAATGGCAGTGAGTGTGTGAATTTTGTTTCCTGTGGAGTATAGCTGGCATGTACACTGCTGTGATGACAGAGATGAGTAGGAGAATAGACAGATGTATTTTACTGTCTTTGATATCCACGTGGTTAAAAAGGTAGGGGGGGGGGGAGTGAGTGGTATTGGTAACAGGGTCATGTAAAAATAAAACTAAAGATACCAAAGAGATCACAGAAATAAGATACGTTTACAGGTAGAATCAAGATGTCAGAGTTGAGTTAAGAAACAGACACATGCATTTACTATTATGAATGCCATTGGTTATTGAGACTTCTGTATATGGGGGTGGGGTACCAATAAAAGGATCATGTAAAAATAAAATTAAAGTTCATGGATCACAGAAAATAAATGGATTTATTGCCAGTCATAATCAGATAAACATTCCATTAAGTCTATGCAATTAAAGTCAGCTACAGCCATTACCAAATGTTGAACTTCTGTAAAGTAAATAAAAAGAAATAAGGGAACACAGAACTTGTGTCCTTAAAGTGATATAGCAGTCAGACAATACAAGTATTACTGTAACATGCAGATGCAATAATAATAATAATAATAATAATAATAATAATAATAATAATAATAATGTCTTTGTTTAAGCTGTAACTTTGTATTTTGCATATTTTGTATATAGAAGTGGCTTGAGAACAAATGAGTCACAGATTTTACAGCTTATTGCCACTGTATTTCATGATAGAATATCAAAAGTCATTAAGATAAAAAAAAGATGAATAGAATTTATTGTTTCTTATCCACCAGTATGTTCTATATATATATGTATAAATGGCGATTTGTTTATTTTTTAAGGCTGGGTTTTATGTAAACAAGGGAGTGCCATATGGTGCAGAATTTCACTGTACATCATTACTGTGGTATGCAGAGCATTTGCATATAGGCAGGGATGAGATCTTTCTGACTATTGGTATCTTCCCTACTTTTTGAGTGGTGTTGCAGTTGGTACTTACAACAGTTATGAATTTTTTCTGACTGTCGACATGTTTCCAACTTTTTGGGAGCCTAAAATTTCATCCCTGTATATTAATTGGCCAGGTGTATTATGGTAGAAGATTGCCTCTGTTTGATAAATGGAAATCTACTTTTTGTTGATGATGGCAAGAAAAAAGATGTGTGTGTGTGTGTTTTTTTTTTTTTTTTTTTTGACGATTTTGTATTTCCCTTCCACCTTGACTATTTCCAGCTCTTGGTCACGCAGACTAAAAACAGTACTTGAGATATAAATGTTGACAGAGTTAAGACCCATCCTGTATTGGGGTAGTAAATTATAAATGCCATTAAAATAGAAAGTTTCCTGCTAAGGAAGTTAAAAAGACATGCTTAGTACCATGTCCACATTTATCTGCAGACAAATTATGGAGTCTTGAAGCACTGAAGTGAGTTTAATGTACATAGTTTATGCTAAGTAGGTACTTATCATTATGATAATCAAAAATTTTAAACACCCCACTGCAACTGATATAATAAGATATAAAACTGAATGAAAACTAGAAAAGATTTATTGTTTTCCAAATATTGAAACATAATTTTTTTCCTATGCCCTACATTTTTTTTTTCGAAATTTTCTCTGAATTTACCAAAAGGATAGAGGAAATACACTAAATTACAGGGATAAGATTTTTTTCGAATGCCAACAGATTTCCGACTTTTTGGGAGACAAAAATATCATTGGTCTAAGTAGCCCCCTGGATCCTGTGACATATTTTCTGACTTTTTCATGTAATAACAGTCTCATACCTGAAATAAGCTTTGTTTGAAATGTGGTAATAATTACAGCAGTTTATGTAACGTAGTATAATCTACATGTACATGTTATCTGTCTTGATATCAGCTTGTTGTTGACAATGACAGGGTACATAATATCTATGGGACCATTCCCAGACCCTATCGTACTAACTGTGGATCGACCTATCTCCAAGGGGATTCTCACTAGATAGTAATCAACTTAAGCAGCTTAGATGCCTGTCACATCTCTGAAGCTGCTAGGGGGTAATTAATTTTGTTTAACGGCTTCAGTAGTCATGCCAGACATCTATACATTCATACATTAAGCTGAAAGTGAGAAACCCCTTGGAGATGGATCGATCCTCTAGATATGGGAACCCAGTCTACCTTACTCCTCGTAGAACATGACCTGGATCAAGTTTTATAACTAAAGATCACATGGGGAAGCACACGTTTATACCTGCATGTATATATGTAGCCAGTACGTGTGTCATGCTTTTGTCACTGTTGAAAGTCTACAGGTTAGTAGTTCACAGATTGCAAAAAACAACTGTACTGAGCAAAATCATATACAGTATAGAATATTAGAATTAATCAACAGTACTGGTTTAAGTTTCAGATTTTCAGATCTGTTGAAGCTATATTGATTATATGCTCGGAGGTCTGCATAAAGTTGTGAAATTAACTTTGTTATCCCCAGGATCACGCATCCGCCTGTTCGTGTATTTGTTATTCAGACTGTCTTTGATTTTATTATAATTAGTACCACCAGCGT